AAAAATCTGGAATATATGTTTGGATATTCTACCTACTAGTGAGAGAAACCAATCAATACATTTTATAGGAGCAGATTTTATCCATTAAAGTTGGCTTAAAGGCAACAGGGATTATTCTCAAATTCTAAAATACTCTTCCTATTCTTTATGACATAGGTATTAACATATTTGGAAAAACATATTTTCTAATGGTAAATACTAACAAGAAAAACTCAATCCACAGGAGCAATACCAGGATAGGAACATGATCTGAATCTTCAGTGCAATCCTGCAGTGTATTATTTTGCCGTTTGATAAGCTTCATTTCTCTATAAGGAAGCAACCTCTCCTTGTAGACGTAGTTACTGTTTATAGAAAGGTGTCGTGGCTTAGCAAAATAGAAATAGACTAAGTGCAAAGATATTTATAGGTCACGCTATTGACTTTGGTCTTTCACGCTGGAAACACTCGTGTTTTCTCTGACATCGCTCTGCCATTTTAATTAAAGGATCAGTGCTTTTAGAGCGTCTGGGTTAATATTTGTCAATACCAAACCCTTCAAAGCCCCAGAGTAATATAGTCTAACGTGGTGTCTTTACGAAGGAGGGAACAGAGGCCCAGAGCAACTTTATTTAGAGCTAAGACATGGAACAAATTGGGAGTTGGACATCTAATGTATTGCTATGCCTAATGTGCTATTTGTTTATCTGTTCATTTTAAAACCTTTGCCTAATATCTACCCTCTCAAAAGTGAAGATTATTTAAATAACGCTCTGACCATGGCACTTGGAATGAAGTCCACGGAGACTTACTGACATGATTCTGTGTTGTGTGGATGTATCTAGAGGTTGCATTCAGATTTGATGGCCATCAGGCAATTCTTGAGTTATTGGTCTCAGGACAAGTGTGTGACACTTACAAATTTGCCACTTTCCAAACACCTGGAAGAACCATCAAGTAAAGCTTTGAGTCAAAGCCCTGTAAGATCCATGGCCTAAGACTTATAGTGTTTGCTTGTTTGTTTCTCCTAATAGAAACATGAGTTCAGCTGGCCCTGATGGGAGGAAAGTAATGAGAAGATGTGATGGACTCATTGATTCCCTGGTCCACTATGTCAGGGGGACCATTGCAGACTACCAGCCGGATGATAAGGTGACTTGGGAGTTAGACTTACATGTCTTGCCTATTGAATTACCTATTTTGACTTAGTAAAATGCTTTAGAATATTCTTAAAATATCTACTCCACTCTAGATTTATTCTCTGACTCATTTATTCTCTGACTCATTTGTTAAGCTTAAGGTTTCCCATACATACTTAGAAATACTAAAATCTATCAAGCCTTATTTTCCTGTTTCCAACTACCTATTGTTTTTGCTTCTGTTATTGAGGCAGTAGGGATTGAACCCTAGGGCACTCTGCCATTGAGCTACATCCTCAGCCCTTTTTATTTTTTATTTTGAAACAGTCTTATTAAATTACCCACTCTGGCCTTGAATTTGTAATCCTCCTGCCTCAGCTTCCCAAGTAGCTGGGATTATAGGTATGTGCCACTGTGCCAGGCTCCAACTGCCTGTTGAACAACTCAATGTAGATGTTCAGAAGGAACCCAGAGGCTATATGTTTTTGCAGTAAAATTACATTTATCTCTTCCTTTATCCCCAAACTTGCTCTTCCTCTGTAAAATCCTTCTTAATAAGTTTCACCACTTATTAAAAGAAGATAGAAATCACTCATATCTATAATCCCAACACTCTGGGAGGCTGAGACAGGAAAATGGCTAATGGGCACCTTACCAATTTAGTGAGATTTTTGTCTCCAAAACAAGTGAGAAGATCCTGGGATTAATCCCCAGTATCAGGGGAAGAGAAGCAGGTGGCAATCTGAATAACCTTGAACTACTCCCTTCCTTACTTCCCATACCCACTGGACAGCAAAGCATGCACATTCTACCACTAAAGGAGCTTTAGCTCCTCCACCCTTCTCTAATACTACTACTGCTGTTCTGGCTTTTGTATCTTTCATTCTGATTATTGCAGTAGCCTCCTGCAGGTCTCTATGAACAGTATTGCCTGTTTTTCAACTCAGCATGGCTACTAAGCTATGTATCTAAAATATACAGTCATCCAGACATACTCTAAAAAGTCAGAGTGCTGGGGATGTAGCTCCGAGGCAGAGCTTGCCTAACATGCACAGACACCTGGGTTCAATCTCTAGCTCCGAAAGATGGAAGACAGGAAGGAGGGAGGCTTGCAGGGAAGAAAGATGGGTTTAGAAAGGCTCCCCGTTGCTTTAAGAAATTTAGCTTCTGCTTTTTAGCACTCTGCTCATAACTGTGGATGATCTGCCCTTCACCTCTGCAGCCTGACTCAGTAGTTCCATTTATTTACCCCAAGGGATCCCACATGCAAGCAGACCCAGCTGCACCCAGGGAGCCTCTTAGAACTGAGGCCTGCTAAGCCCCACAATACCACACCTGCAACAGGGCATCCGCACGTGTGTCACCAATGTCCTGTCCTGTTTCCTCAGGCTACCGAGAACTGTGTGTGCACCCTTCACAACCTCTCCTACCAGCTGGAGACAGAGCTCCCAGAAAAATATTCCCAGAGTATCTACATCCAAAACCGCAATATCCAGACTGACAACAGCAAAAGTGTCGGGTGCTTTGGTAATCGAAGCAGGAAAGTAAAAGAGGTACATTGGGAGGTCTTGGGAGTGAGGGGCAGAGATGGGGAATGGGAATATGTGTGTTTTGGCCTACTTAGTACATGTGTCAGGCACTATTTTAGGAACCTATTTTTAGCTTCTTTTAATCTTTATATCAACCTAGGAGAGGTGTGTTACTAATACCTTCCTTTACCAGTGAGGAAATAGAGGCATAGAAAATGTAATTAATTTCCCCAGGTTAATTTAACAAATATATAAATGGAAGGGATAGAGTTCAATCTCAGCAATCTGGCTCTAGATTTGCATTAGCTATTAATCCATACTGCTGTATGCCCTGTAGGTTAGGAAATGATCTCAGTATAGTACAAGCAGCAGTGCAGACACAGTGAAAGCAGCCCTGATACTTGGCTGTGGGCATTCTTAAAACAAACTTCAGACACACTAAAAGCAAACCTCATGGGAAGGAGTACACATTCCTTTCCGTACTGACATGAAGACTGAAAGAACAGGACCGGCCCTACTCCTCTTAGTGTAATGGTATTTGTGAACTTGGAGAACAACTGGGAAATTTAGAACCCTGATGCTGCCCTAGACAACTTCACATGACTGAGGGATTGCATCTCTTCAGAGTAGTGGTGACTAATTTAGCTTTTAGCTTCAAAGCAGCCAGAAAACCATCTTAGAAAGACCCATGCTTAATTCTCAACACACACTCTCACTCTTGCTGTGAAATGTAAAATGGGGAGTATGAGTTGTTGTTAGGAAGGAATAATAATTATGGTCTAAAAAGTTAAGTAATTGGAAATCATATATATTTGCTTTTAAAATTTCCACTTGAAAGCTTCTTATGCAAATCATTAGTTCTTCTAGATACTGTTTCTGGCCTGCTGCTTTGGGTGCAAAATCGTTGGCATCATTTGAGGTGTATTAATCTTGATTCCCTCGTATGTGTCATTAGCAATACCAGGATGTGCCAATGCCAGAAGAAAAGAGCAACCCCAAGGGCGTGGAGTGGCTGTGGCACTCCATTGTGATACGGATGTACTTGTCCTTGATTGCCAAGAGCTTGCGAAACTACACACAGGAAGCATCCCTGGGAGCACTCCAGAACCTCACTGCAGGAAGCGGCCCGGTGAGTGTCCCGCTTGCTCTTTTACTTTTTAAAATAATGATGCTACAGGCGTACCCACGTCAAGATCAGAGATGGAGCAAGCAGGTAAGAGCAGAAGTTTCCTGTCTCAGGTCAAGACTTCACAGGAACTGCTAGGGTGGGTTTCAGTCAGCCAGGACTTCAGCCTGGTCTGTCTGAGATGCTCACCGTGACTCCCCTGCTCTGCAGGTCTCTGAATCTGCCTTCAGCTGTTTGGGGCTGCTGTAGAGCTGGTTGAAGGAAAGAGAGATGTTGTGTGTGTCCTGGGACTGAGTAGTCAGGGTAGGTCTCGTCTGCCTTCTGTCATACTTGGACATAGGTGCTCTGGGATCACTGCAACTCTCTGTTCTGAGCTCTGTTCCCTGTTCTCGAAGGCTCTGCCCATGTGGTAACCAGGAGAGCCAGGAATTATTCAGGCTTTCATTTTACCAGCCTGGTATCCCCAGGACAGAGCTACTTTCCCAGGAGCACTGTGAAGCACAGAGAGAATGCATCTCACTGATCTGAGTCTCTTTAACCAGCACCTGTGCAGGGGAGGCTGGGATGGTGATCGGCCAGGTCTGGACACCGGGCCAAGGCTGTGTGTGCGAGTCAGGGAGGGCCACTGCCACTGAGCCCCAGGGGCTGCATGGTTAAGGACAGCTTCCCCATGGAAAAGTCAGGGTGTTCTCACCAAAAAGAGGAGGAGGGAATGCCGAGCCACAAAAACAACAGATGTCTACCCTGGGATGGAGTTAGAGAAGATGTTTGTGCCACCGTGTCCTGGAAATTCAGCTACACAGTAAAAAGCTGCTTCTCTTTCCAAATGCACGTACTTTATCCCAGCAAACTCAGAATGTATAAAGTAGTAAATGTATTTTATGCCATGTTATGTATTTAGGGATTCCATAAATAATCGTTTGGACTAAGATCATATTCTTTTCCTTGATCATAAAAACAGTAAAATAAGCTCTAAAATAGTTTGTTACGTGGCTAGTCTTCAATTATCTCTTCCTACAGAGCAAAATACTCTTGTAGGGAATACAAATACTATTTATTCTTTGAGAAATCATTTATTTTTAATATAAGTGTATTCACACAGAAGTTCGTTTTCTATTCTGAATAAAGATATAAAATTATAAAACCAGTATTTGTCCTATCTTAGGGACAAGTTGGTTTTGTTTTGGGGTTTTTTTTAGTACCTGGGATCAAACTCAGGACCTTATGCTTGCCAGGCAGTGCGGTGGCACTGAGCTGCGTCCCTGGCCCTCTCCTATCTTAATGTCATGGTTAGGATTATAGCCAGATATCATCTCTCTGTTTTTCTATAGAGCATAATTGTGCACAGAGAGAGCAGGAGTGCCCTCCATTCAGGGTGTTTATGGCCCAGTAGGAGAAAGTGCAGTCTAGGGTCACTGTGACCTTGAGAACTGGTGGGAGATGGTAAGGAAGGAGAGGAAAAGAGGTGCCCAGTGCTGAAAGGCTGTGAGCCGTATTAAGATGTTTGGATTCTTAAGGGAATAAAGGGTCATTGAAGGATTTAAAGCTAAGATGGAACATAATGAGATTAAATTTTAGAAGGACCATTCTGATGTAATGTTTTGAAGTCCCAACTGGTGTTTAAGAAGCAACAAGTGGACTGGCTGTATTTGACTTCCTCGTGGAGGTGAGAGACCATACATTTGCAGGCAGACCAATCTGACGATGCAGCATTTGCTTTAGCAATATTTGGTAGCAAAGAATAAAGGCAGAAAAGACAAAAAGCTAAGTTGAACCTAACATAGCAGTTTTGGTAGATGGGTGAAAAGTAAGCTAGAATGACAAGATGGCTGAGGATATTAAAGGCAGTGTTTGATACGATGCTCATGTGCCCAGTGTAAAGAAGAAAACAAAGGCTTGATGTGTGGGGAGGGAAGGCTGGGGCAAAGGGAAGGGAGCTCTTGGTGAGACTGAAGAGGACAGGATGGGAGGGATGTGGGGAGAGCAAGGAGCTGGGAGGATGCGTTCAGAAGCTGACATTTGTGTTTTCAGAGGAAGTGTGTGTCGGGGTGAACAGGCCCCATCTGACCAAGAGTATAGAAGAGATGAAAGGCAGTAACTCGGGGAGGCTCGGGACAGTGCGGCCCGCACCTGGGTCCTCTACACAGAGAGGAGGCGGTAGAGGAGGCTGCACGCGAGCTCCAAAGCCTCCAAAGCAAATCCTGCAGGGCACCTGATCTGGACCATGATGCCACTGGAGAGCAGGGCTTCTGCTGTGTGGGAAGACATCGCTGTCTAGACAGGACATCAGGGAGAGAGACTTGGCCTACCCTACCCGGCACAAGATGGTGGACGGGGTTAACAGCTTCTTTGTCAAGTGGCTGTGAGGGAAGGATGCTGTCAGAGGGCGGCAAGTAATCTAACAGAATGTTCTGCAAGTCACAGAAAGCAGACTGTGATTCATTGGTGAAAGCACAAACAGTTGTGATTAGACTTTGAGCCAAGGACACTTTGAGAGTCTGATAAAGGTTAAAGACCATTTCCCTAGGGATGTTGATTATAAACAAGCCAGTTTTAGGGACGCCCCTGTCCCACCAGCCCAACCTTGACCCTATGTTAGGGACCCCTCACTCTGGAAGGGAGTGTGGAGAAGAGGAAGAAGCTAAGGACGACAGCCAGGGGCTTTTAGATGAAACAACAAGATAAACACCCCGAAGAATGGCCGGGAATCTCTGGCGTGGGAGCCTCAAGTAGAAGTCCAATATAAAGTCAGACAGGATTGAAGGCCCCAGAATGGGGGGTCTGTTGATGCTAGGAATGGGCCGATCAATATTTAACCTCCCAAAAGAAGGCAGGCAGCCTAACCTCGAGGTCAGGTTTGCCTCTTGTGGACCTAACCTGCACCAGTCGCTGGCAGATGCAGCCTCCAATGCAGAACAGAGCTACAAATAATCCAGCCAGCAGTGTTCCTTTTATTTAAAAGCCCAATATCTCTCTCAAAATAAACTGAATTTTGTTTCAAAATGAGTAAGTTCATTGAGATATGTAAAATGCCAAAACTTGAACCAAAAGAAACAGAAAAGACGACTAAGCCTTTAATGAGTGCATAAATCGAAGTGCTGATCAAAGCTTCTCCCTTGCAAATCTTCTCTCAGCTCACTGGGCTTTCTAGGTGAAGCACAGGTCCACGTCACGGTGCTCAGGAGGAGCTGATGTAACTCTGGGCTAAATTCTATCAAACCCACTAGGAGTGGATTATTCTTAGATTACGAACAGTTCAAGACAATAGGAAAGACAAAATTACTTTTAGGATATTACTATCACCTTGATTCTAAAATTGATAAGGGCAGTACAAGAAAAGGGAAGACAGACCCATTTAATTTATAAGCACAGATGCAAAAACTAATTGTTAACCAAATCCAACATTGCACTAAAAATACTGAATAAACTGGTTTTTATCAAGTAATTACATTGAAAACCTATGAGAATTTAAAGAAAATACCTTCAGAAGGGCTTTTTCACAGGTCTCCTCCAGCCTCTTGTACGTAGTTTACAGAAAGCGTAATGTTCCCGTGGAGTCCACTGCACAAGCGCTTAGAGCGCGTGTCCCCCACACAGATGCCGATATCCGTGGCCCAGACCGTGGTGCTGAAGGAGAGCGGCCTGCAGCACACCCGGAAGATGCTGCACGTCGGGGACCCCAGCGTGAAGAAGACTGCCGTCTCTCTGCTGAGAAACTTGTCCCGGAACCTCTCTCTGCAGAACGAAATTGGTGAGTCAGGGCCAGCTGTGCATGTAGCGAGCACCCAGGGAGAAGATAGGGTGCAGTGAAGCATTGTCTGTTGTCACACCTTCTCACAAGGGTGAAGTAGAAAAATGAGAAAAGAGCAGGTGATAAGCTGGCTTGGCTTCTGTGCCAGCAAACATCAAGGGTCTCACTGGACCTCAACTTGGAGTGTATGTTTTTTGTTTTTTTGAGACGGGGTCTTGCCAGGTTGTCCAGACTGACTTCAAACTTGAGATTCTCCTGCCTCAGCCTCCTGAGTGCTGGAATCACAGATGTGTGCCACTACACCCAGCTTCGATTTTTCTTTTTTTCCTTCTGGTATCGGGGATCGAACTCGGGACCTTGCGCTTTCGAGGCAAGCGCTGGAACCACTGAGCTAAATCCCCAGCCCGGATTTTTTTTTTAATATCTAGCTTTTTTGTTTTAATTACTTACTGTCTTAGTTACTTTTCTCATTAATGACACAAAATACCTGACACCCAAAGTTAAAGGAGGAAAGGTTTATTGTACTTCACAGTTTGTGGAGGTTTCAGTCTATAGTCAGCTGGCTTCAAGGCAGGATGGCATGGCAGAGGGGCAAAGCAGAGGAGAAACAGTTCCTAGCTGGCAGAAGACAGAAGGAAGCAAACCAGTGAAGTAAAAGCAGCAACCGATGACATCACCCCTCTTTTTGTCCCTTATATTCTGTCCAGGCTACTTGCCTTTAGGGAAGGCAGCACTCACACCCAGGGTGGGCCTTCCCATTATCCACACCCAGTACTATGCCCAACCAATGGGTGGACTAATTTAGGAATCACACACCCTTGATCCCAGCATTACACACTTGATCCCAGTATCATACACTCTAAACCCAGCCACCTCTGAAAAGCCTCACCTAAAACTGCTTGAGGCTTTGGGGGGACATGTAGACACAGCCATGACACTTACAGACGAGACATTTAGGCCATACCAGTACTTAACAAGATAAGCAATATGTTCAACATTTCCCATCCTGTGACCTTGCCATTCTGTCTCCACACAACCTTAATCCACATAGCTGTGGTCAGAACGCTCTCCCTGCAGCCTGGCTGAGCACCCTATTCCAGACGCTAAGGAAATACTGCAGCAGTTGTTTCCTTTAAAAGCTTGGAAGTATGTTGGACTCAAAAAAGAAAGGTTAGACAGGGAGACTCAAGAAGGAGACAAAAGGAATTATTGACTGTAGCAGGTTTGGCCTAGTTGGGCTTTAGAATAAATACAAAGAACTATGCTTGCCTTCTCAGAGAGACTTTTTCTAACAAAGATAATCACTACAGTACATTGCTGGATAATGTAATTTTTCATTTACTTATAGTCAGAAGTATCTGGTAAATGTTGACCCAAGCCTAAATGATAAAATGAGGGGTCAGGGGTTTAGCTCAGTGGCACCATGCCTGCCTGGCAAGTACAAGGTCCTGAGTTTGATCCCCAGTACAAAATCTATCTATCTATCTATCTATCTATCTATCTATCTATCTATCTATCTATCTATCATGAGATTCCTAGGAGGACAGTGCTAAAATTAAGTGTGCTTCCTAATGCACTGAAAGTCAATTACGTCTAACAACCTAAATTCAGTTTTTCACAAAATTCTACTAAAATACAAACACATTTGTGCTCCTTTCCTGTAATGGAGTAGATTTCGGAACGTCCACACTCACAGCACCAGGGCTTCTGTGGTCTGCAGCTGCATTACAGTGACTCCTTCTCAAAGGCAGCCGGCACTGCACTCAACAGGAGGTGTCAGACAATGGCCCTGTGCCTGTTGTGAAGGAAGGGAGAGCTGGAAACTGCTCTGTGAATCCAAAAACACCTTGCCAGGGGTGCTCTCAAAATTATGAAAGCATTCTCCCCATTGTTTGTGTGGGGTTTTGTGCTGAGCTTCAATAGAGGTGTATTATCTTCTTTTCTCAAATGAAAGGTCAGTTCCATCTTGAAAGCATTGCCGAGGTGACTAACAGCACTGTGCATGTTCGGCACAGGTCTGCAGGGCCGAGCCGCTGTCTGTTCCCACCTTTCACTCCCCTGCCTAACAGCCAGGTGGGGAAAGCTTGGCCTGCAGCTCTGGGTAAGATGGTTCCATGCTAACCCTTTACCCTTACAGTGTCCTCAGGATAAATGCAGCTTGAAAATCCCAATTGGCTTTATGCTAAATGTATAAATGAAGTAATAGGATCTTTCTGGATTCTGACTCTCAGTAGCCTGGAGTAAGTGGGCACACCACAGAGGTTGGGGCACCCTGTCTGTGCTTCTCCTGAGAGACCTCCCTGCCAAGGAGCTCTCCATGTCCTTACCGGGGACACAGCGATCACATTCACTCACATTTCCAGAAGCAAGCCAGAAACACATTTTCTCAAAAGCTGGAAGACAGGCAGTATGTCTTGGTGACAAAATTAACAGATGTCACACAGAGGACACGCTGGGTCTGCTTCCCACGGTGCCGCCTTGATGAGCCCTTTAACTGCAGTGCACCAAAGGGGACTGATCGGAACCGCGCAGGGTTTCTCGAGGATGAGTGAGCCGACAGTGGGAAGGGTGTGCCTCTCTACAATCCCACCTCCTGTCCATTCATTACTACAAGTGCTTTCAGGTATCCGAATATTAAAGATCTTACTTAGACCCAAAGTACAGGCAGGACTACAAATATATCTATTATACATATGTTTATATAGATGGATATTTGTGTGTGTGTGTGTGTACATGCGTGCATGTGTGTGTATGCGAGGGGTGATTGAAAGGTGCAGTGAATGTTTAAATTTTTAAACTTATTACAATTAAAGATATTTTCAAAATAATGGGATAAGTGTGTTTGAAGTGAGGGCATATCTTGAGTATTCTGAGGGATATTAATAGCAATGTGTTTTTTACTGTAGTAAATTTTTTAAACACATTTATCATGTTTTTTGCTCACACTATATATGGACAAAAAACAATTTAGATAATATGGCTATGGATACACTACTAGACACCCTCCTATGCTGTACTGTGGTGTTCGCTTCGCCACAGAAACAGCTGTACTTTTCTAAGAAAAATTAACACAACAGAAAGCAACAGTCTCTAACATGATGGGCATTCCTCCTCAGCCATGACCACACACTCACCTTAACACCGGTCTGCAGCAGGGGACTCAAGAGGCATGGCAGGGTCAGTGAGGCAGAGCCGTCTTCGAGGGGGACAGTGCCCAGCAGGGCACCCTGCAGAGAGACTGATGGGCCATTCTGTGTGGAGTGATTCTCTCAGACCTTTCTCCACACTGTCCCCATAACACAGTGAAGGGAAAGTTCCTGTCCCCCGGGCCTTTAATTCTGCAGTTTAACCTATTGACAGGTGAGGCCTTCTGATAATAACACACAGTGCACATGCATTAACTCACTGATTCCCTTCCAACACCCTTGTGAAGGCGGGCACTATGAATACCCCGCAGTACAGCCTAGGGAACTGCAGCAGAGAGGGAGTAGCTTGTCCAGACCAAGAACCATGAAGCAGCAGAGCCTGGACTGAAGCTGAAGAACTTGGGCTTCAGAGGCTGAGCCAAGCGGTTTGCACCTCCATGCCACACTGCTTAAGCCACGGAGAAGAAGGTGGTCAGATCCCTGAGCAGGTGTCTTACTGTCAGCCAGCTCCGGGTTGTCCTTGGATGATGCCATTCGGGCCCCTTTATAGAGTGCCTCTTGCCCTCAGGAATCATGATTGCTGCTGGGAACACAGAAATAAAATCACTGTATTCAAGGAACCTACAAACCCACCTAAAATTCAGACAGGTGCAGACCCGATTATAACCCAGGGTCATACAGAGAAGAAGGGTGTAAGGTGCAACCTGAACACAAACGAAGAAATAATCAAAATAATCAGTACGTATTACACACTCGTGACCAACACAGCACTCTGATGTGGAGCCATGTGAGCAACACAAGCTACAGAGGATGCTCCTCAGCTGTTAATAGACTTCCAAGGTAGAGCAAAAAGAAAATATACAGAAGAAAAGTCATTATGAAAAATAAAATACAGCTCTTATTGCCCAAAATATATACCACAGGACAATTTATAGTGAGGTCTTCACATGTTCATACCTCTCATGTTACTATGAAAAATGCTAAACTCAACCTACTACCAAGAGTTACACACATGGTGAAAAAGAACATTTAAAATAGTTTGTTCCTCTTTTTAAAAAGTAGTACTACTTACGTATCTTTTTTAAACTTTGGGATATAGATAATTTTTAAATGTTTTTAGATCACCACTAAAAACAGTTCTGTTAGCATTTTAGTGTAGTTCTCTTATATGTATTTTATTTTGTAATATTGTGTATTCCTTATATAACTTTTTCACACAGAATATCAATATAACGTTTCCTGTTATACAGGCTTTGAAGATATGCTGTAGAATGCATAGCAATCTTTGCTTCCTATGAGATTTAGATTTTTTATAATTTTTCACTTATATATAATTCTGTCAGAAAGATCTCTACAGAAAGCATTTTCATTTTTTAAAGCGATGTCTCAGAAGTGGAATTGCTGAGTTGAAGAATACAAAAATTTTAAAATTCTTGATATCTCTGTCAAATTGCTTTGTGAGATTTTCAAAGTTCTGGGCACAGAACAGAACAACCTCTTTTTAAATTTTTTCAAATATGATGATTAGGAAAGTTACATCTTGCCATATGTTTGTTAACCAACTGTGTCTCTTTTTTGAAATGTCCTTTACCCAAAATGTATTGGAATCTTGGGCTGAAGAAAAATCTTCCTAATCAAGTGTGGTTTTTCTTTGACTTTGCAGCCAAAGAAACCCTACCGGATTTGGTTTCCATAATCCCTGACACGGTCCCAACAACTGACCTTCTCGTTGAGATGGCAGCCTCGGCCTGTTACACACTGAACAACATAATCCAGAACAGCTACCAGAACGCACGGGACCTCCTGAACACGGGGGGTCTCCACAAGGTCATGGCCATCAGCGCTGGGGACGCGTAAGTCCTATACCTCTGCCCTGGTCCCCTCCCTGCCATCACTGCTCTGTCACAGCTAGAAATGTCCCTCGTGAGGACCCAGCAGCTTGGCCACAAACACAGTCTTAAGGCCGGGAACCACCTGGTGGCCAAGGGAGGAGCAAAGTCATCAAGCCATGTGGCAGCTCCCTGTAAAACATGGAGACAGAATCCCACTCTGTAGCTTCTCCCCCAGCATTTGATTGACCTGATGAACTTGTTTCCCAGAGCTGTGATTTCAGAAAGGCAGTGTTGAGCCAGGCGTGTGGCACACACTCATAATCCCAGCACTCTGGGAAGCTGAAGCGGGAGGATTGAAAATTCCAGCCCAACCCAGGCAATTTAGCAATTTAGAAAGATCATATCTCAAAATTTAAAAAAGAAAAAAATCCAAGAGGTTGGGACTGTAGCTCAATGAGAAGGCCCTGGGCTCAGTCCCCAGTACTGCAGGAAGCAGAGTGTAGCAAGGGGCATCCTGTGAGCAGGAAGGGCCCTGCCTTGCTCACACCTTTGAGGCCATAGGCAGCTTATCAGAAGCAGAGACTGCGCAGATGGGTGGGGAAGGGGAAGGGCCCAAGTAGCTTCATTCTCCCGGTTTTCTCTTCCACCTCTTACTCCCTTTCGAGAGTAGATGTGGTGCAGTAAAGCCACCCTTGCTTCTGTGTGCACCCAGATCGATACTTCTAGTTTATTTGGAGAGATGGGAGGGGAAAAGGACCTGAAGGTAATGTGCATTCTTTATTTAATTCAGAACTGTTTGATTTGTTACAAATGCTAGTTATTTTTTCCTTGGGGCTGGGAATTGAACCCTGGCACGCTGGGCAAGTGCTCTAGTGCTGAGTCCATCCTCAGCCCTAGAAGTTACCTTTGCATATAACCCTGAGGAAAGCTGTTGTTGTCTAGTTCTAATGAGTTACAGAGCACGTGGACCTCGCCTGTGGTAGACAGAGGTGCACTGGGCACTCAGGGCTATGGGTGGGGCTCCATGGTGTCCTGTGGGGAACACACCTTGCCCCCCAGCCCGCCTTGGACCCGGCACTCCATAGCCCCTCTCTGGCCAAACTCCAGAGGTAGGGAGACTACAGTAGGATGCGGGGAACACTCACTCAACCCCAGAGGTTGGCCATAGCAGTTGCTCAGTCTTTGCAGAAAAAATGAGCTATTGTGCAAAATGGAAATGACTCTTATGAGTAAGTCATGAAGTAGTCATCTGATCTCTAAGCAGCCCGCCGTAAGGTTAAGGTAGCATAACTGGAGCTATTTAAATATTCAGGTGTGGCTGGGGATATAGCTCAGTGGTGCCTCTCGTGCTTGGCAAACGCAAGGTCCTGAGTTCAATCCCAGTACTGTAAATATTCAGACGCAGTAACTGTTGCCTGGGGGATTGTGCATTTACTTTTGGAAACTTCATATACCTTAGCAAAACAGAGGAGTGTCTGTCACTTATGTGACACCCCCGATGTCTTCACATGCTGTCCAGGGAAAGAAAAAAAAAACATAAAAAGATGCCTGTTGCTCTTTCCTTGCCAGAGTGTTGTATACCCAACCTGTTATTTATGGGCTAGCCTGGGAGCTAATTATCATTTACAGCCTTGTATCCTCGGACATACAAGTCCCCGGTGCCAACCAACCAACTTATAAACAAGCTTCATGACTATTACCCTTGCAAGTTTAAGAACTTCTTACACTTTTGCCAGGTGTGGTGCCACATACCTATAATCCCAGCACTGGTGAAGCTAAGGTAGGAAGATCACCATGAGTTCAAGACCACCCTGGATTACAAGGTGACCTGCTCTCCCAGCAAGGCTGGTGTGCGTGGGAAGAAAAGATGCTGAGCAATGAATGAACCCACCTTGTGCTCCCCGCCCCAGCAGTTTAGATTTCTCTGCTCATGGACGCATGTTTACAAGCTCTTACGATAATGGAAAGCAGACATGCACACTGTTGTTGTTTTCCATGTTTGAAAAAAAAATAAGTCAGCCAAGGGCTAGTCGGACATTGGAAGAGAAAGACGGAAGAAGGCACTGGTCTTTAGCAAGGATTGAGAAGCTGAGGACACATTTAAAAACAGACCATGTCAGTGTCACATTTAGTGGTGACTTGGGTTTATAACAGCCGTGAGTTTTGTCATTATATAGTAAAACATAAAATGATTTAAAACTATATGAACAGTTACTGTCACAAGAGTTTTGTTTTTTAACTTGAAAAATTACTTTCACATTGATAGAGTCACTAAGAAGCATGTACATTTTTCAGTGATGCTGTCCTGCCTGGGTGTTCTGTAAACACACATCATAAATATACAAATATAGATTGCAGTCTATAAATAAATTAGAAAATTAAAACCATGTTTAAGGATATATTCCTTATAACCGTGGCAATTTTCTTTACAAGGTATTTATTAGCACTGCCCTACTGGTTTAAAAAGATTAAAAAGAAACAGGGCTGGAGGTGTGGGTCAGTGGTAAAGCACTTGTCTGGTGTGTGTGAGGCCCTGGGTTCAATCCCCAGTTCTGCAGTAAAAAGGAAATGAGGTGTGGCCCTGCCTCGATCGAGGCCAGCCTCTAATCAGGCAGCTGCTCCTGAGGCAGCAGTCAGGAGGACTCACAGAAAGTCAGGCCTCACACTGTCACCGGGCTCAGAGTGTCCTCTCTTTCCAGGTACGCCCCCAGCAAAGCCACCAAGGCAGCATCTGTGCTCCTGTACTCCCTGTGGGCGCACACGGAGCTCCATACAGCCTTCAAGAAGGTAAGAAGCTGAGGTGGGGGTCGGAGAGGCTGGCAGGGCTCTGGGGAGAGATCGCCACCCCGCGTTGTCTTGTGTGAGAATTTCTCACTCTTCACCTTCCCATCTGCTTATTCCCAAGGCTCAGTTTAAGAAGACAGACTTTGTCAACAGCCGGACTGCCAAGGCCTACCACTCCCTCAAGGACTGAGGACAGGGAGACAGCTGCAGAGATTTCAGCCTCACCCTCCTGGCCATGCAAAAACCCCCAAGGAAAAGACCTATTTTTCTACTGTCTAGCCCAAGAATCCTCACAAAGAAAGTACGTGTCGTTTCTAGCCTTTCTTGTTGCCATGGTCCTGAGATCCAGGAAACAGATCATCAGAGCACACTGTTGTTAGGCCCCCGAGGACTTTTGCAAGGTTGCTGCCCGTAACCACCCGCAGCAGGCTGTCCCTCAGCCTCTGCCCTCCGGAGGCCGGCCGCCTGGGTGCTCACCGGCAGGGTGTGTGAGAGCAGAGCTGCTGTGTCACTCGCATTTTAAAAGTTTGCTTTCCCTTTGTACTCCCAGTTTCTGCACATGCTTCAGCACCGAGTCACAGGTGTGTCATTCAGATACGCTAAAACCCATCAGAAGGGATGAGAAATACCTGCAGGCCTCCAGAGGAGAGTGTCATGGAGGGTCATTTGATTGCTCTGTGTTCGTTTTTATCCCCTTGGCTCTTTTTCCCTGTGGTTTTAAATGAACTTGAGAAATTTACATTACAGAAGCATGCATGTAAGAAAAGGGAATTGTGGGGTGAGCTTGCAGCAAGCTTAAACAGGGGCTGTAAGGCAGGGCTCGCTCGGCACTGGGTGAGCGGGACTTGTGCTCAAGGAAATAACTTGCCTGTCTTAACAGCCAGAGACGAAGATCTCTTCTACACAGTGGGCTCTGGGCGCTGTGTCCTGGGCCTTCTCCCCTTCTGCCTTGGTGGGGGATGAGACAGGCTCTGCCAGGGGCACCCAGGGCCACCCGGGGTTGTGGATGCAGCTCAGCAAATGAGCCACTACTGGGCATCTCAGCTCACCCAGAATGTAAGAAATAACGGAGCCACGGATATAATAGAAGAGTCACATGGAGGAAGCGCATGGTAAGGTGCCAAGGTGCTCCCGAAATGACACCGGGATGCTGAGCTTCAAAGGTGCCATCGCCAGCTGCAGGGATTGTCTTAACAGGGCTGTGATTAAAACCACTCGTGGAGGATTAGTCTTCTCAACTCCAGTTCTGTTACACATTTTGCTTCTATAAAGAAGTCTGACAATATTTGTTGCAAGAAAGTAAGAAAAGGAAAACTCCTTTGGCTCCTTTTGGCCAGAAAAATGTAATAGAAAGTAAATTCTCATTTCCAATTTCAGTGCATACTTAAGTCTTTCTTATAGATGGAACTTAATAATTGTTTTCCAAGTTTAAAATTCAGTGAAGATGGGTTATTAACCTAGACCAAAATGAGGTTGCTATCATTTTTTTTAAATCCTAAAGAGGGAATTTACATGTTTTTCCCTGGGTTTCAGACAATAAACATTTAGAGTTTATTTCTCTCTCTAGATAAATGATATATGTTCAAATATTTCCATGTTTTTAAGGCATTAATAGAGCTTTCAAATATTAAACACAAAATGAAGCAAAAGTAACACCGCCTGTGTTGGGATCTGCGCTTATCTGATCTGTCTGTCTTGGTGTGTGGTGGATTGACTGAGAGCTGAGGATTTGACCTCATAATTTTCAACTGCTAAGTGTCTGATACTTTATAATTATTTATATTTTTTCCCTAAGGTTTGGGGGTTTTTTGTTTGGCAGTACTAGAGATAAAACCCAGGGCCTTCTCACTGAACTACATCCCTAGTCCCCTGTTAAAATTTTTTATTTAGAGATGGACAGGGTCTTGCGAAGTTGCTTAGGCTGTGCTCAAACTTGGGATCCTCCTGCCTCAGCCTCCCAGAGAGCTAGAAGTGCTAATACCCTAGCAAGAAACATTTCCTGTAAGAACACAGGAATAACTAGTGACAAAAGCACATAGAAATGGAAAGATAATCAAGCGATTTGTGTGTGTGTGTGGTGCTGAGGATCAGACTCGGGGGCTCACACTTAATAGGCAAGTGCTCTGTCACTGGGATGTACAAATGCGTTGAGGATTGTTAGTTTTAATGCATCAAGTAGATCTGTGTCTACACAAAGATAGGTTGTCAGATTATTATGTCCCGCACTGTGTCTCTGTTTGAAAGCACCTCTGTACTTTACTCTGTGAGTGCCCCAGATAGGGAAGGCCTTGTGTGGACAGTAATCAGTTTGACCACAGGCAGTTTGGTTTTTCTGTGTATCTCTGGCTGGCCCAAGGCATCAGAGGAACAGAAAAGCCACTTTGTTTATTTGTGCTGAGAGTTCCAAAGAGTCCCTCCCAGGTCAAGAATGCCTGGTGGTCTCCCAGAATCCTGGAGGCTGCTGCCTTGGATTCCCATTGCTTCCACATGTTTATACCTGACGGGGAAAACCACAGCACTCTGGCAAGATGAAGAAGGGATTCACAGGCACAATGTAATCATGTGCTGAAGAAGCAGTTCCTTAGGGGGGGAAAAAACAGGAAATAAGGTATGTGTGTAAGTTTATGTATAGTATAGGTAGTGAGATTTCCTCTAAATAAATTTGTAATGAATCTTGGCATTGGAATGAGGACTTTGGTATGTGTGTATTTTGAACAAAATTGCAGAAGCCTCAGGTCACAGAATCTCTGGATTAGGAGGAATTTAGAAGGCCAGGTCTTTTAGTACCTTCTGTGTCAAAAGACTCGGTTCTTATTAATTTCGCAGCAGTGGGCCGGGGATTTAGCTCAGTGGTTCCAGCGCCTGTTTCAAAAGTGCAAGGTCCCGAGTTCAATCCCCGGTACCAAAAAAAAAAAAATAATTAATTAATTTCACAGCAGAAACGGCAGACTGATGTTGCATGTGGGGGACCAGTCCTGGGGCAGCCAGCCTGAGTTGGATTGTGGCTTCTCTCAGACCTTCTGTCGCTAGCCTTGACTCTCCTTGCCTACTGCAGTGAGTAGCGGGGACATTTACCTCACGGGTGCATGAGGATGAACTGCTTTAATAAATACGGAGCGCTTGAAACAATGCTCTCCGGAACACAGTAAGTGCTAAATTATTTGGAGTTCCTGGGTTTGGAGGTCTTGCTTTTCTTTTTTAATTCTTCCCTTTTGAATTTCTTTTTGCTGATATGTCTGGATCTGTTCAAAGCTACACACACACACACTGCCCCATCCCCTGCAAGGCCAGCCAGAGTCCCTTGTGGGTATTGAGCTGTTAGGAGAAAAGATCCATCCCACACTCATAAATCAGTTCGAGGAAGCCCGAGTCTCCGCAAAGCCAGGCTTGACCTCAGCATTTCTCAGCATTTCGGAATCCAGGAGGGACACAGGCTGCCGCGGACACAAACCTCTGCTCTAAGCCCGTTTTCTCTCCCTTAATTCTTGGAGCTGTGCGGTTTGGAGCAGCAGGGATCTCGGTCGCCAGTGAGCACGGAAGGTGTGTGGCCAGTTCTTACCTGGCTCCCAGCCCCGCTCGGCAGGCTGACGCCTCTGCTGCACGAACCAGGCCCGCGGTTAGTGCCAGACGAACGAGCTCGCTAACACCTGAAACTGCGACTTCAGCCGAAGGACCATTTCCTGCACTTTTGTTTTGCGCACCCCAGGAGTGCGGCCTGTCCCCAGGCGGAGCTTGGACAGAGGCCCAGATGCCCAGGCTGAGGCAGGACCAGGCGGAGCGGATCCGGAACTTTGACGCCAGCCTGCGCTTACATCACAGAAGCCTGCGTTACCTGTAGGCTGCTAACACTCTGGCAAGGAAGAGGAAACACGTCCAAACTGTCGTGGTTTTCTTACAGCCATACAAAGATGTTTTGCACAATAGGCAATCCTTTGGGTATTTTAGGGTTTTCTAGACAAAAGTTAGGATTTTCTTTTCTTTTTTTCCTACTGAGCATTGAACTGGGCCCTCACACTGACCTGTACCCCCAGCCCTCTCTCTTTTTTTTTTTTGAGACGGGGTTTCACTAAGTCACTAAATTGCCCAGGGTGAGCTCCTCCTGCCTCAGCCTCCCAGGTGTGTGCACCACCACGCTCAACTAAACAACTTCCATGTTTAGATACATCTTTAAACACGTGTGTATTATATTGAACATCAACTCCTAGAGCTGTGGGCGAGTGAGAGGTGATGGGGAGACTGCTCACAGAGAGTAGTGAGCCAGACTTCCGTGTGACGGCACATTCCCAGTTTCCTTGGTACCCTGTGCTTCCTGACAGAAATGCAGGGGAAACTGTCAGCAAGAGGCAAGGGGGCGTAGGCCAAGGGAGTTACCTGAAACAGAGCTCAGCAACAGGAAATGGTTGGTGTGAGAGCAGGGAACTATCAAGACGCGCTCATGCTCATTGGTATTTCAGTCAGAAATAATGACAAGGAAAACAACCTGACACAACCGTAATAAGAGTGCAGAAAATTCCAGTATTTAGGGAATGGACAAAAAATGTTTATTAATGTATTAATTGTACGAAGTTACAGATTTCACTGTGATATAGACAACATTTTTTCATAGAAACTTGTTTCTTTGGCCCCTTTGATCTAATTGGGGATTTCCTAAGCCCTAATTTAAAAAGCAAACGCAATCTATTTTAGTAGTATTGCTTTAACAGCTCTAAATAAGAGTTATGTGTGAACATGTTGAGTAACCCATACCCATTTCTTCTGGTGGCTCAATGTGTGAAGCGAACCAATTCCTCACCTAATGTTTTATCTTTCCTTCTTTAGTTTTTCACTTAGAACATTTCATTGTATTTGGTTACCAAACGAGGCCAAAAGCGATAGCGTTTTTATTTCCTGTGACAGGAAAAACGGATTCAAGCTCAGGCTTGGTCAGCAGCTCACGAATGCAGGTTGCTTCCATCTTTGTGCTTTGACACCCTTCGCCTGTTGGTTTTTGCCCTTGACTGCTCTCTTCATGTTTACAAAATGGTTGCACCAGCTCTAAACATCTTACCCTCACAGAGCCAAAGGCTGGAAGAGCAAACATTTCCTTTCCTGCATCCTTTTTTTTTTTATATAATAAAATTTTCCTAGAAGCCTCCATCAGGTCTCATATTGTCCATAATTAGATCTGCCCAGTCCTGAATCAGTTCCCAGTGAGAAAAGTGACACTAAAATCCGTGTGAGCCACTTAGACCTCCCCTGAAGCTGTGCAAACTTCCCCAAGGTTCAAGGATGGAAAAATGGGGCTGGAGAGTACTCCCACAGCATTGTCCACCATATGTAGAGACCCTCAGATAAGGAAAAATTCAATAATCTTCAGCAAATAGGTCTCGTCTGGCCCGTAAGATAACTCCTTCCCAACATATGGCTGTTTCTGCTTCAAATTTTCCTGCTGTGGTTGCTGCACTGCACGTAGGGCCCACGTGATGAAAGTTTGTAGATAAAGACTAATTAGGAAGTGCTGTGAGCCCATGATCACCTCAGGGAGAGTCAGAAAGGAGGAGGAACAGAGTGCTGCTCTTGAACTGTAGGAAGTGGAAGAGAAGAGAGGCCTGGGACCTCTTCTTTATTCTCCCTTCTTCTTGGCATCACCATTTCTTACCTTTAAGCAGTAATTATGAGGCTGGGGATGGAGCTCAGGGGTAAAAAGCTTGCCTACCATTTGCGAGGCCATGAGTTCCAGCCGCAGCACTGGGAAACAAAACAAGCATTTTAGGTAGCCATGATGGAAGCAGAGTTACACCTTTCCTGACAGTCACCCTGCAGGAAGGTGGCTCTCCAGTGTTGGGTGGTTGGCCCAGCAGAGAGCGTGGGTGTGAATTCCTTCACCTCTGACGGGCTGTGTGACTGCGGAGTTACACCTTACAGGTGAGAACTTCACCTCATCACCTTGTAGGGGTTTTTTTAATAGCACATTTATTGGTACATTTTAGGCATACATAATGATAACACTCCTCGTAGGAAATATGCATAGGGAATGCATGGTATATCCCATCCCTTTTTTCCTATTCCCCCCTCAAGCCCCCTTCCTTTCCTGTGTACAAAATCTTTGTTTCCATTTTTTCCTTCTATTTTCATTTTTTCTTGTCCTTTCCTTCCTTTCTCCCTCTTTCCCCTTTTCATTTGAACACTTTCTTCCCATTTCCCAATATCTGTTACACATCTCAGTCCTTATTTCTACTTTTGGTTTCTCAGACCAGAGAAATAATGTGATATTTACACATGTGTGTCCAATTTCTCTCACTTAGGAGTATGTTCTCAAGGTCAATCCATTTAGCTAGAAATGTCTGAAGCTCATCCTTCTTTATGGCAGAATAGTACTCCATTGTATAAAAAAAAACCCACATCTTCTTTATCCACTTGACAGTTGATGGAAATTTGGGCTGTTTCCAAGATTTAGCTATTATAAACTGTGCTGCTATAAACATGGGTGTGCATATTTCTCTGTGGTATGATGCTTATAATTCTTTTCGGAAGATACCAAGAAGGGGAACAGTTGGGGCAAATGGAATCTCTAGTTTTAGTTTTTTGAAGAATCTCTACACTGATTTCCACAGTTATTGCACCAGTCTACACTCCCACCAGCAGTGGAGAAGGGTTCCTTTCACCCCTCAGCCCCTCCAGCATTTATTGGTTGATTTATTGATAGCTATTCTTTCTGCAGCAAGATGGAATCTCAACCTTGTTTTAATTTACATTTCTTGAATGACCAGCGATGTTGAACACTTTTTCATTCAGATATTTGCTGTTTCTACTTCATCTGAAAAGTGTCTTTTCATTTCAGATGGCCATTTTTGGATTGGGTCTTTAAATTTGGGGGGGGGGGTCTGATTTTTTTTAGGTTCTTTTTATATTCTAGATGATAGTCCTTTGTCTGATGAATAGCTGGTAAAAAAAAATTTTCCCACACTGTAGGTTGTCTCTTCACTCTGTTGGTGGTTTTGCTCTCTGTGCAAAAGCTTCTCAATAAGATGAGGTCCCAGGTGTTGATTCTTTGTGGTGTTTTCCATGTAGTCTAGGTTTTGTTCATGAAGTCTTTGCCTACTCCTATGTTGTCAGGCATTACCTATTCTCTTTTCCAGCAGATTTAATATTTCCATTTAAATATTTAGATTGTTGAACCATTTCGATTTTAATTTAGTTCATGGTGAAAGATAGGGGTCTAGTTTCAATCTTTGGCATGTGGAAAGCCAGTTTTTCCAGCACCATTTATTGAAGAGGCTGTCTTTCTTACAGTGAAGGTAAAAGTTTGGCTCCTTTGTGAAAGATGAGGTGGCTGAGTGTGTCTGGAGTTGTTTCTGCATCTTCTAGTCTGTTCCACTGATCCTCAGGTCTGTCTTCCCAGTACCATGAGTACCATGCTGTTTTTATCACAAGTAGCTTTGTTGTATAATTTCAGGTCAGGAATTGTGATACCTCCTGCCTTGCCTTTGTTGCCTGGAATTGTTTTTGCTCTGTAGGTCTCTTCTTGTTCCAAATGAGTTTTAGGATCATTTTCTCTAATTCTGTGAAATATGTTGTTGGAATTTTGATTGGAATTGCATTAAATGTGTGTAACAATTTTGGAAGTATGGCCATTTTCACTATGATGGTTCTTCCTGTCAAAAAACAAGAGATATTTTCACATTTTCGATCTTTTTCAGAGACTTTGTAGGGTTTTGTTTTATTTTGTTTTTTGAGGGAATAAAATGATGTTTTCAAAATCCCTGGCACTTAGGCACTCTGTGAAAGGTACTGATCGTTTCCTCCCTCTTGCAGATTGGGCTGCTGGCCAGGGATGTGGGGATTTGGAACCTTCACCTTCCACCTCCTCCTGTCCCCACTTGATCCCCATGCTCTCCACAGTGTCAGGGGCCATCTGAGAGCAGAAAGCAAACTCAGGAAGTGCTCAGAGGAGGGGACATTACCTGCCAAATTGCATCCTCCATGTCCCCATCCATCTTGAGGTCTGCACCTCCTTCTGATCCATTGTCCACAGCCCATCCTCCCAGAGAATTCACGTAAGGGAGCCTTCAGGCAGAGGAAGTGGAGGACATGCTCCTTGTGCTGAGGTTGCAGAGGAAGGCTGTGTCATTGCTAACCCAGGTGGGACACTGGATGTGTTCTCTGAAAAGAAGTCATTTGTGCAGCTGAGGGCAAATAATTAATTTCCTTTTCTGAAAAAAAGACTGACTTTTTAAAAAGAATATTTGGAACCAGTAAATCCTTTGTGTTTGCATAAAAGTCAGGTGTGGAACAGGCTGCTTATTGCCACCACTATGTCCTGTCTTTCCTTTTCAAACACCAGCAGAAATTTTAAAAGGACGCAGGAAGCCCAGAATGAAGACTACATTTCCCTGCCTCCCTGTAATGTGAACACGTATGACTAAATTCTGGCAGTTGGATATTAGTGAAGCAGAATCCAACAGCTCCTCAAAACCTGTCTTTTTTTTTTT